CTTCAGAACAAATAGGGTTAGTTATCTTTGCCAATATCAAAAGTTCAGATGAGTTTGATTTCAAACCACCAAAGATATTTCATATTACTCATGGTTGTTATGAGTGAGTGAGTGAGTGAGTATGGTTTTACGCCGCTTTTAGCAATATTCCAGCAATATCACGGCGGGGGACACCAGAAATGGGCTTCACACATTGTACCCATGTCGGGAATCGAACCCGGGTCTTCGGCGTGACGAGCGAACGCTTTAACCACTAAGCTACCCGACCGCCCCTGGTTGTTATGAGTTCTCAGAACCTCCATTACTTATTTCTGTACATGCTCCCCCTTGTACGGGGGGCACAGCACGACACACCTGCTGGCTGTCATTATTATGTTAGATGTTTACACCTTATGTTGTCTCTCATCACACCTGCTCCAGACATGATGTTCACAGAGCTGAAACAACTGTGAGTACTGTGAAACCTATGTTTACACACCTTGTTCAAGCATTACTACCATCACAAAGTCCGACCTACTGCTTAATGAACCAGGCTTTTCAATGATCGTTGATCTGATAGTCTTCACTGATTCCAGTAATTCTGTACTGAATATGGGCTTATAAAAAAATATAGTCAGTACTTCCTGAATACTTTAAAGTCAGTGATCTTGAACTTTTATATCACAGGTCAACAAAACATTCATACCAAGTCCTTTATAGTACCACTGTTGAGGTTGATCTTATCCCAAATCAGGCAAATCATATCAAATGGATCATGCGTGCCAACTTATAAGGTTCATTAAACTTAATAAGTTCAATAAGTTAACATTGACACATTGTTTTAGAGCTTGTTTTGTTACAAGTGACCTTGACCATCAATGTGAACCAATCATTTATGCTACACTTTCCAAGGCACATATGGGGAGTGAGGCACAGTAAGGTGAAATGAGGATTATCGTTGCATTCAAAATTATTGCACTTATAATATTGCGATGTACAATCATATGTTTGTGTGTCTGCTTGTACAAGTGTGGACTTATGCCTATTTCATAGTGTTAGCCCACTGTGATACCATGCTGCAGTTTAACATATATCCCCTCAGACACAGGTTACGGACTCTGAGCCAACTAGTCCTTGTTTTATCCCCCTAATGCTGAGCGCCAGGCAGGGTAACAACAAGTACCATCTTTTAACATCTTTTGGTATGAGGCAGCAAGCGATCAAACCACCCTGAGGTGGCCAGGGATCAAACCAGCCTGAGGTGGCCAGGGATCAAACCACCCTGAGGTGGCCAGGGATCAAATCACACTGAGGTGGCCAGGGATCAAACCACCCTGAGGTGACTAGGGATCAAACCACCCTGAGGTGGCCAGGGATCAAACCACACTGAGGTGGCCAGGGATCAAACAACACTGGTGGCCAGGGATCAAACCACCCTGAGGTGGCCAGGGATGAAACCACACTAAGGTGGCCAGGGATGAAACCACACTGAGGTGGCCAGGGATCAAACCAGCCTGAGGTGGCCAGGGATCAAACCACCCTGAGGTGGCCAGGGATCAAACCACCCTGAGGAGGCCAGGGATCAAACCAGCCTGAGGCAGCAAGGGATCAAACCACCCTGAGGTGGCCAGGGATCAAACCAGCCTGAGGTGGCCAGGGATCAAACCACCCTGAGTCGGCCAGGGATCAAACCACCCTGAGGTGGCTAGGGATCAAACCACCCTGAGGTGACCAGGGATCAAACCAGCCTGAGGTGGCCAGGGATCAAACCAGCCTGAGGTGGCCAGGGATCAAACCACACTGAGGTGGCCAGGGATCAAACCAGCCTGAGGTGACCAGGGGTCAAACCACACGAGGTGGCCAGGGATCAAACCAGCCTGAGGTGGCCAGGGATCAAACCAGCCTGAGGTGGCCAGGGATCAAACCAGCCTGAGGTGGCCAGGGATCAAACCAGCCTGAGGTGACCAGGGATCAAACCAGCCTGAGGTGGTCAGGCATCAAACCAGCTTGAGGTGGCCAGGGATCAAACCAGACTGAGGTGACCAGGGATCAAACCAGCCTGAGGTGACCAGGGATCAAACCACACTGAGGTGGCTAGGGATCAAACCACACTGAGGTGACCAGGGATCAAACCACACTGAGGTGGCTAGGGATCAAACCACACTGAGGTGGCTAGGGATCAAACCACCCTGAGGTGGCTAGGGATCAAACCACACTGAGGTGGCCAGGGATCAAACCACACTGAGGTGGCCAGGGATCAAACCAGCCTGAGGTGGCTAGGGATCAAACCACACTGAGGTGGCCAGGGATCAAACCACACTGAGGCCGCCAGGGATCAAACCACACTGAGGCGGCCAGGGATCAATATTTATCAGTAATCATTTTCTTCATTTCAGACATGAAACCATTCTTAGTCCCCTTGCACAAAGGCACTTCTCCCTCACAACAGTCAAAGTATGACTGAAGTAACCCCCCTTACACAACTGCCACACTTAAACTCTCATTACCCCAATGATCCACAATCACCTTCCAGGAAACAACAACATTATGTTATCCGGCTTATCAGGCCCTGTAAAGGTCAACTCTAATCCTGTAACGACCGTACATTGTAAAGACTTGCAATCAGGCAAGGCTAAATCGAAACAGTAATCCTGCTTTGTAATACCCACGTTAGTTACAAGCACTGATCAGTAGCCCATTACATGCGACAGTTTGGCTTGGAGATTTGAGCCTCTTGTCAATGTGAAGGCAACCATGATTGAACACTGCAGTTAATGGCTTACAGGTACTGATCAGGAACATGGCTGTAACAATAAGAGCTTGTTCGACACCAGCTTGTACTGGGCCTTATATAATATCTCTGACATGACCATGAATTTTCTTGTGAATATTTATAACATTAATCTCGTATCTTCTTGATCCATTTAGTTGCTATAAATGTAACGTACAAATTATTTTCAAATCTTCTATTTAAATATCGTGATTTTCAAATTTATGACATATTCCAAATGATCAAACCTATCCTTGCATTTTGAATGTTTGGACTGCAGCATAAGTATTTTCTTGAGTGAGTGAGTGAGTGTGTGAGTATGTTTTACGCTTCTTTTGGCAATATTCCAGCAATATCACAGCAGGGGACACCTGAAATAGGCTTCACACTTTGAACCCATGTAAGGAATCGAACCCAGGTCTTCGGCGTGGCGAGATAACGCTTTAACCACTAGGCTACCCGACCGCCCCTAGTATTTTCTTGAGGTTATTCCAATTTTTATTTTTTTTCACAAACTTGACCTATGTACTTTTTTACTACTTCAACATACAGTGCAGACCAATCCACAAACATTCATAGAGTTGCAACCTATTGAGTGAGTGAGTGAGTATGGGTTTACGCCGCTTTTAGCAATATTCCAGCAATATCACGGCGGGGGACACCAGAAATGGGCTTCACACATTGTACCCATGTCGGGAATCAAACCCGGGTCTTCAGCATGACGAGCGAACGCTTAAACCACTAGGCTACCCGACCGCCTCTCCAACCTATTGTAACTATATAGTTTATTATAGGCTAAGAATGACAATGAGTTACAAACACCTTGTGGACAGAAGCCCAGATCTACAATGCTCTAACTTTGATCATGAGGAATCCTATGAAATGTGTCTCAGTTTGAATAAATTGTAGATATTATTAAACCGAACTGTCTATTTCCTCGTTTGCAGAATTGTGCCCTTGTCAGTAGGTGGGAGAAACAAAAAACCAAACAAAACAGCTGTATATTATCTTCCTCAGCTTTATATTTTGTCGTTTAAAAAGTTGTTGTAGTATGTTGCCAAGTGAACAGTACCAGTTAAGGTTATCTCGTAAAGTTTAACCTGTTATGTATGCACGTCACATTGTATTTGGTGGAATAAATAGAAGTGTCTGTGAGATTCATCCCTTTCTGCTATTCATTCTTTTTAGAGTTATTTTGAAATCATTAAACCAAATGAAAGAAGAAAAAATATAGCCTGACATCATCAGAATTATGTCAAACCTGAGCTAACAAAGACAGTTGCTGTTGTAACAAGATTATAGCTTCTTGCGTCTTGTTGAGTGTGAAGAACATCATCCAATCATCCACATCTTATCATTGAGATAATGTGGAGAAAAACAAAAGCAGGGTTAGAAATTTGCACTAGTCCTGTAGTCCTTGCCAAACTGCCCAATAGTTAAGGTATCATAAGGACTAGTAGAAATTTGCCATATTGATTGGTTTTACTATATGTTATCATTATAAGGACAAGTGGACAAAAAATGTTAGTTTCTAACCCTGAAAAGACTTCATAATGTTCACATGGTGCATATTAAATAACAAGTTAAAATCACATATAATGATACCCAAGCCATACTGGCACAAAATACAAACGTGGTTGTATCAATCTGAAAAACATACTGTTTTCTTGACAACTTTGATGGAAAAAATCGACCGGTCAAAAGCAAAAAGATAAATGCAGTTATCAGTCCTACAGCAGTGCTTTTGTTTAATGTACGAGGAAACCCCCAGTGACTATGATCGTAGGCTTGCATTTACCACTTTTAGCCAAATGATCATATTTATGGAGGTGCCAAAACAAGCATCATGAATATAACCAGTCTGGTGTTCAAATCCATCACAAGTCGATCCTGGCACAGCAAAGGGAGGCAACCTGACACAACTACCTGTACTGCTATGATTTTGTTTTCATTCGATGAACTTCATAATTATCATACACAACTATTACACATAATAATACGGGGCCCCATTCCCCAAGGCGATCTTAGAGCTCATCTGTCGAAAGTCAATGATAAGGAATGGGAATTTCGATCATCTTAGCACAAAGATCACTTTGTGGAACAGGGCTGTGAAGACAATTCCTCAAAGTGACCCTAGTAATTTCGAACCTTTGTCATAGACTGATGACAGTCATGCCACCATAAAGGCAACGATAAACAGTCGTTTGGCTCAAGCACTGAGACTAGCAAGGGGGACAACTCTGCAGCCTACCTGGCTCTGTGTTGATCAAGCTCATTTCACTTTGTGTTTTCACTGCGAACCCTGTATCAGCCCTCTCAGCCCATTTGCCCTTGGGCTGCTTCGCCGACTCCAGACTGCGGTCCTTGCTGTCACCAGTGCTGCCTCCCATCTACACACAAGTCACACACTTGTAGAAGTCAAAATTCATACGATTATCTCAAAATTCAGCTCATATTTAGAAAGTTATACACAAATGTGTAGATCTAAAAGGGGCACTAATCTTGGACAAGTTGCAGTCCAAGGATGTTTAATTCAAATCGCTCAAAATCCAATTGTTTGTCTGTTAATTCAAATATTATGATGCATGTCAAAGAGTTAATTATCAGGCTTAAAAAATAATAGTCTTGGTTCTCAGGCACCACACGCACCACCATAAAGTCCGCCGCACGTTTCATTTTTACTTCAATTTAAAAAAAAATACAAAAATACTCACACTTAAACACAATACGATCCAATATAGCACACAGTTACTTCCCTTTACATGGACACTACTTTACCGTGTATCTCGTGTAATGGTCATGGCGGCAATAGAAGTTTGTATGCTTGTTTATGTAGGGAGGCCCTTTCCCAGGTTGATGGTACACAACTGTTTATTTGGTTACATACTAGTTTGAACAAGGAAAAAAACAACAATGCCCACCCACACTATATTTTCAAAAGTCATTGACTGAGAACCAATTCTTTTATTTTTTTAAATCTTACCTAATGAGTTGGTTATTCACACTTAGAAATGTATCAAGGTATAAAAGTTTTATTTAAAGGGTTTTACAAGAATGTTAAAGTCACAGGAAAGTTCAATGATACAAATGCTATAACTGTGAGACTCACCTTGGCTTTTGCCCAGTTGGGCAGAGGCCCGACACTGAAGCGGTAGTCCGCACTGCTCTCCTCCGCGGGTGCTTCGTGGGACTCTTTCTCCAACATGTCCAGCACATTGTGGGCTGGCTGGAACTGGTGACGCTCGTGCATCACCGGGAAGTTGTCCATACCGTCATGCAAACTTGGCTTGGAAATGATGGCCGTCTCTCTCCTGTGTAGAGGCGAAGTGTGAGCAGGTGGTATATTGACAAGGGAGCAGGTGGTAGGGCCAAACATTCACAGTTTCCCAACCAAGTGCTAATTGCATCACTGGGCTGGATTTGATGCTACAGTCATCAGCATGATACTAAATTGTATTTGATATTGCTTACATAAAATCCTCAATCAAAAATAACTCCTTGTTTTCATTCACAATCTATTCTCCAAACAGGTATTGGGTATCTCGATATTAGCTCTTCACACACTTTACTGTGACTTCAACATGAGACTATAAACCATGTATTGCCTTCTGTGTAAGAACATGCTTTGGGTGAAATGATATCAACAACATCGAGGGTTACGACAGTCATATAAACACGCCCTAGGCAAGTACTTCCTATGAAAGATGGTGAGGTGAGGTGAAATGGGGTTTAACGTCGCGTCCAAGATTATTGCACTTATATAGCGACGTGCATGCACATGTGTGTGTGTGTGTGGCTGCTTGTACTAGTCCGGACTGATGCCGATTTATAGTGCTAGCTCACTGAGATACCATGCCGCAGTTTAACATGAATACCCCACTCAGACACAGTATACTGACTCCGAGCCGACCAGTCCTTGTTTTAGCCCCTTAATGCCGAGCGGGGTAACAACAAGTACCATCTTTTAACGTCTTTTGGTATGATGCGGCCGGGGATCGAACCCCGGACCTTCCGCTCTCCGAGCGGACGCTCACAAGACCACGGAGGCGGCCTATGAAAGATGGAGCTTAGCCCTACCTGATATCACTGACAAACTGCAGGTCCTTGGGCATCTTGCCTAGTTCCTCCATTCTGTTCTTCATCTGCTTCGTCATCTCAGACGGCAGACGCCACACGAATATACAGCTGGAACACAAAAACAACATGGAAGAAGAAGATGTAGATCAATGTCAGCTAGCATCACTAACCCCATCACCAGGCTAGCACACTTTCCTAACAAAACATGATTTTGCCTTGCTGTTGAACTTTTTCAATGTCAGAGCCTTGTGTGTATAATACAGATAAATATTTGAATATTAGTACCATAGGAGCAAAAAATGCCAACCCATCATTTATTTCATTCAAGTTTTACTTATGTCAAAATGAGGGGATTTATTACCATTAATAACAGGTGCTTTTAAAGAAGCTGATGTTCAAGTAATCCCTTAACTTGGGGAAAGATGACACATAATCAGCACAGAGAGCTTGTCATCATGGGTGGTTCGACATCCAAGTAATTGACACTTAGCAGCTATTGTGACCTCCGAATCTACAACCGAGTGGTTTCAGGGACAGCTGAACTACCAACTGCTACAGATTGACCCCAGAAAAAAAAAGCAAAATGACCACCCATTTATCATATTTCAGATACCAGGTCCTTTATTTTCACAGATAATGGTTGACTTGACCAGGAAATATTCAAAATAATTTTGAACTCTGATTTGCTTTGTTTGTTGTTTAACATTTCACTCTGCAATATTCTAGCTATGTGACGGAGACCTGCAAATAACAAAGTCTGGACCAGACAATCTAGTGATGGGTGCAGTGACACACATTCAACCCAGGCACTGAACCTGACCACCCAATCCATTATTCGCCATTTACGACCAGCAAGGGGTGCTTGTAACAAATGTTATATTTGGGATAACATTTTCTCAGTTAAGTTAAGATTCTAGTACTTTTGGGGGCTGAGTCCCATCCAGAATTCGAACCCACACTGCCAGAGTGTGGCACCTAATCGTCAGCACAAAAAGCGATCTAACCCATTCAGCCACTGAGGCTTCCACAAAAATGAGAGTCCGACAACTGGTAGTCTAGATCACGTACATTGTGTACCCCTCTGACAAGTGTAAATTGGTACAGCTCCCATTGCCGAAAGGGTTGCTTGTCCATCAAGACTCCCAATTGGGGCTAACTGACTTCATCATATGATTACTTTGTAATATATCTTAAGAAGGAATGCACAGAGGAAGGAGGGTCACCCTTACCCATCGGCTGACACTGAGATCATGTGTTTGAGATCATTCATAAACTTGAGTCCAGTAATGATCTCGGAATGTCCGTACATGGTGGCCACCAGCTCACCGCTGTAGAAGTCCACGATACAAATGTTCTTGTCCGTGCAGCTGGTAGCCGCGTAGCATCCTGACGGATCCAGCTGAATCCGTAGCAGCACACCATCGTCTGTTAGCGAGGCCTTGTAATTCTTCTTCTGTTTGGCTGTGCGTATATTGTAGATTCTGAAAAAATAATAAATGCTTCCAATGATATGAACAACATATTGTGGCGGGGCTGATGTGTCCTGAACAAAATTATCTGCATTTATGAGATTTTAAAACCTGAATCCAAGGGATGTTAAAAACCCTTGTACATGTTTTATCCTACACAGAAATATTAATATCAAAGATGCCTGTTGGAAGGAGGCTGACGTACCTGACATTTCTGTCCTGACAGGCCGTGGCCACGAACTTCTGTGTGGGGTCGGTGACCATGTCATACAAAGTGGCCTTGCTGACCAGGTGCTGGTCAAGACTGAACTGGAATTCTGGACTCTGAAGGGACAAAACAAGCATACAGTTATTAACTCCTTTCAAACAAACATGGTCTATTCTTCTGCAATGTTGAACTGAATTAAAAATACTACATTCTTTTCTGATCACTTTCTGAACATGGTACGGTACATTTTTAACTTCTACAAATATTCAAGTTCCATCCCCCAATATTTTCCGAGTTTTCTCATACACTATGAACTTGCTCAACTCTTGTGCAGTGTGAGTGACTGTGGATTAATGTCCCAGTTTGCTACAATACATTTATATCATGGGGAGCTGTACAAGATAATCAAGTCAAGAAAAACCAATGACTGACTGCTCAAGCATTGATTCGTACAATGACAAGCACCCGGTAAGGTCCTCCGTTGTAACCTACTGCTAATCATGTGATACCTGATTATTCTGCCTTTAAACTCCACACAGGGTCACACAATGGACATGATGCTGAAGAATGTTGGTGGACATACCTGTATTGCATTACTCCCCACAGGGTCACATAACTGAAGATGGACATGATGCTGAAGAATGTTGGTGGACATACCTGTATTGCATTACTCCCCACAGGGTCACACAACTGAGGGTGGACATGATGCTGAAGAACGTACCAGGACATACCTGTATTGCATTACTCCCAACAGGGTCACATAACTGAAGATGGACATGATGCTGAAGAATGTACCAGGACATACCTGTATTGCATTACTCCCAACAGGGTCACATAACTGAGGTGGACATGATGCTGAAGAATGTACCAGGACATACCTGTATTGCATTACTCCCAACAGGGTCACACAACTGAGGTGGACGTGATGCTGAAGAATGTACCAGGACATACCTGTATTGCACTACTCCCCACAGGGTCACACAACTGAAGATGGACATGATGCTGAAGAATGTACTAGGACATACCTGTATTGCATTACGAAACAGCAGAGACTTGTCTGCTCCACAACTCAGCATCTTCAGCTGGTTGTCGTGGTCTGTGAAGCGCACAGCCTGAATGGATGCCGAGTGATCGTCCAGCGTCTGCAGAAGGCCATACTTCTGTTCCACATCGAACACATGAATCAGACGATCTCGGCTAGCTGACGCCAGAAGTTTGGGTCCTGCATTGTTGAGCGGTATGGTTTAAGATTGGAAAACAATGATTTAAAGAGAGAAACTGTTTCAGGTTATTGCGGGAATAAAGATTGAAAAAGACAAATTACGCTACTACACTGACATATACAGGGCACTCCCGAGGTCAGATAGCTCCTTGAAATATAATATGGCAAACTGATAGGATTTATTTGTATTCAGTTTAATAAGAAAAGAAATCATCTTTGCCAACTATAGAACAAACAAATCCTGTTGTGGGGGGGGGTCGGTAATATCAAGGGTGACAACTCTTGCATGCCTGTCACCAACACTTGCCTTGTTTTGAGTAAGAATATTCTAGGCACAACACATCAGCTTCGTGAGCCTCAATATCTCGAATCATATCCATGTATTCAGTATCATATACCCTGAAATAAACAAGGGAATTCTTGAGTAAAAAGAAACATAAACATAAAATTGTAAAAATCTGAAAACATGATAATTCTCCTTCACCATTATATGAATGTGTTATATAGAATTTCTCACCTGAGATTCCCAAGTTTGTCCCCAGCAGCCAAATGTAGGCCATCAGGACTGATTCGTATAGAGCGGATGCCATTCTTCACATCATACTGTGTGTCGGTCTTGTCCGCACCCCCAGCTACAACACAAGGTAAGGATAATGTGCATGCTCTGTGTTGGTCCAATTCACCCCATAGAACAAAATGTATCAATATCAAAGTGTTGGACATTACAAAAGAACTTCCAAATTGAAAGCATGTCAAGAATTGTACAGTCGACTTTGTGTTGAGCAAATGTCTAAACACAAGAACAATTTACTAGAGGTATTACCAGGGATAAGGTCTTGTCGAAATAGATCTGGAAAACAATGTTATCTATACATCTGATATAAACTAGCTATGGAAGTCTTGACAGATGGGATCATAAAGCAGTATGAATATTGTGTTGCCCACAATATCCTTTGACTCTAGACAAAGTTCATTTTACATGTGAATGGGAGTTACATGTACTAGACTGTAAAAATTCAGTTTCCACCCTTGCCAAACTAGGCTGGAATTTCTGTGCTCGATCGTAGCGCCATCAGTGGCTATTGCGTGTTATGTCCCTTCTATGTCCATCCTATTTACCAATTAGATTCCACCTCTCATATCACTTGCATTTGTTTCAAACAAAATGGCAGTGCCCAGTGAAGATAATTTCCCGTGAGCACCTTCATTAAAAACAAGAAAAGATTTGGAAAGTATCTGTTGACGATAAGTTGACGGTACACATGCTTTGCAAATCCTGCAATCGACAGAAATCTGCATGGCAGTTTATGAACCGGATGTCAATTTTGATTGGACTCGTTAGTCCAGCCAAAGTATAACTCCATAATTCCAGCCAAGTTCAGCAAAGGTGAAAACGGGACTTTTATAGTCAGTTAACTCCCTTGCCCCAGGAAGACAGTGAGCTGCAAGAGGACAATTGACAATTATTTTCTCACACCTCGAATTTACACTTAATTTCTATTGGTTGTTTCTGTGTAGATGTTTTATAAGTTTACCTGGATTGTAGTCTACATCACACAGGTTGGTGTGGTTCTCGTCTGCATAGATGATCTTAAGCAAATCCTGGAAAGGAAGCAAGATGACCGTTTTAGAACTGCAACAGACTACAAAATGTAATTCTGACAAATCACACCAGCTCAAATACAGCTGTAAAAGCATCCTCAACCTTCCCTGATTGTGTTCATCCTTTCAAGTGCCAAAACTGTTATTTCCTTGTCAATATTGTTTTTAATTTCTTGATAGCAAAATCTTACGGATTTGTTACCAACAAAAGGAAATGCTAAAGGCATTTAAGAATTCACTTTCACTTTGTGTGAGTTCATTGGACTATGAACCTTTATAGAGTGAGGGCCAAACTGTATGCAGTCATACAGTTATACAATGTTTGGCCCTCACTCAATGAAGGTTTATACTCTAATGAACTCACACAAAGTAAATTTCTTACCTCAAAGGATGTAGGCCTTGATCTATACACAATTTTATTTAGCATGTGTGACAGACCGCCAAACAACACCCAGCTTATACACTTGTGAACGTCAATTTTGTGATCATGTGACTGACCTCTCATCCAATGGAAAAGCTGTATATATTTGGTATGTGTGACAGACCGCCATACAACAACCAGCTTATACACTTGTGAACGTCAATTTTGTGGTCATGTGACTGACCTCTTGTCCAATGGAAAAGCCGTATATTGTGTAAACTTCAAAATAAAAAAAATATTCAAGAATGTCCTCTTTGCATCAAAAACATTTTGACGAACTTCTCTCACTACACATGCTAGTTCTGTCGATTCCAAACCAGACTTATGTCCTCATTAAAGCAGACCATGTCGAGTTAAGGACGTGTAAGAATGGGACGACTAGGTTCACCTAGGTTCACTTACATGGCTGTATATGTTCCTCTTGTAAGTAGTTTTATCCTGCATGTGAGAGTCGAGGTTCCACACTCGAACTGTGTCGTCGCTCGACCCCGTCAGGAAGGACCCAGGGGGGAGAGTGGCCTGACTGTTCTCCTCCAACATAGGGTACACCTGGAAGTAGACATTTCTCAAATAGTATCCGACTTGAAAGGTTTTCTTTCACTCTAGAAAGCAATTTGTTTAAAAAACAACAAATAAAAAAAATAAAAATTAAAAAAAACATTTTGAAAAATTGGTGCAACATTATTTTATATACAATGAATAAACTGCATCCATGGAGCAATGGTTTGTGAGTGCAAGATCCATGATGATCCTCTAAGCCTCAATCATTACAATAAACAAAAAGCATGAAACGTTGAGTGAGTGAGTGAGTTAGTGAGTATGGTTTTACGCCGCTTTTAGCAATATTCCAGCAATATCATGGCAGGGGACACCAGAAATGGGTTTGACACATTGTACCTATGTCGGGAATCGAACCCGGGTCTTTGGCGTGACAAGCGACCGCTTTAATCACTAGGCTACCCGACCGCCCCGAAACGTTACGTCAAATGAGTATCTGATCATAGTTTACTCATATAACAGTACATCAGTAAACTCAAGCTTCAGGTAAGTGTGTAAAGGTACCTTCAGTAAAACAATTCTTGTGCATGTGAAATGTTCGAGCGTGAGGGAATACTAACCTCCAGTGACCATACACATGAGCTGTGGTAGAGCACCGAGTAGGCCTTGCCCACTTTCTTGATGTCGTGGACATCCCACTGGTAGAGGCTGTGGTCGTTGTAGACGCAGGTTACCTGCACAACAGGAGCAGAGAAGTCTCAGCTTGTAAAAGCCGCCAGGTACAGATGAATATGCTACTCAAAACAAGTTAAGGAACACTGATTTTTTTTCATATGACTACAGTTAATCTGTCATGGATGGTACCATTTGTACGTAAAATCCTGACCACCAGACTGGCGTACTGTGATAAACTGGGCAGGGCTAAGCTGGTGGTTGATGGGATGAGCAATGATATGCTGGTTTTTGTTTGTTTGTTGTTTAACGCCGCACTCAGCAGTATTCCAGCTATATGACTGCGGTCTGTAAATAATCGAGTCTGGCCCAGACAATCCAGTGATTGACATCATGAGCATCGATCCACGCAATTGGGATTGACGACATGTATCAACCAAGTCAGCAAGAATGACCACCCGATCCCGTTAGTCGCCTTTTACGACAAGCATAGTCGCCTTTATGATATGCTGGTGGGTGTATGAGGACACAAGGTGACCACCCATATCTTCTGTTCAGCAGACATGGCAGGCTGCCAGCTGATCACCTATTTTATGAAAGTTACTTCGGTTTCATTTAAATCTGAAAGTTTGTATATTTGTTTTGTTTTAAACAACTAAAATATTGTAAATACCGAATTAAGACTTCCTAAGAACATTTATTGCATCAGTTATGACTTGAAAAACCTTTGCGAATATTTCAGGAAATCATTGCGTCAAATACGCAGGAATTACGTGTCATGAAAAACCTGGTTTTCTCATGGCAGGCGTTCATATCTGATCAATTTTCTAAAATTCCTTTGTTTAAATACTGGGGCAAAACATGAATTGGGTGTGTTATTGAAGCCTCATGTTTGAGTCACCAGCTTAAAGGTGCTACACTGATATTATTTGAATGGTCATAATATCTTATACACATATACATCTACCAAGAAGTGAACTTCACAGAATTCCAGTAACAAGGAGTTGAGGGGCATTACAATACAGGACTATTCCAACACACTCCTACCTTCTTATGGTCATCGTCAAATGCAACAGCTATAGTGTCAGGGTACTTAGCATCTTCTTTAGGAAATTTCATTTGACTGAAAAGAGAAAGATTGTTCCAATTCTTCAGAATGCCTTGGTACCTGAAATACACTTTATGACCTTCAATTTCTTACAAATATAGGTCCCCTAACCATATTTCAAAAACAAGGCCCATTGTTAAACAAGTTATATGTTGCAAGACACAATTTAATAAAAATCAATTTGAAGTTCAAATCTGAAATACAGGTTTACCAGAAAAGCCAGGTGAGGTCATTTAAACTTTGTGAAGCTGGATTGGGAGTTTTTTATGAAATATTTTCACAAATTGCATTCAGTCATGTAAGTAGTTTCCCTCTAGCAGTATACCACACTTGACATACCTCTGACTGGTGGCGGAAGACACGTCTACTCCCAAAAAGTGAGGGTGAGGTAACGAGGTCACGAAATGAAGAGACTTAGCACTGAACACTCGCACGATACCCTCAGCACATCCAATAAATATGTGATCCTCTCCACCGCTGATGGATGTAGCACACTTTGTCTGAGGAAAAAGTATGTGGGGTCAGAAACTATGGAAATAAAATATCTTCCTTAACACAGTGACACCATTGCCAGTTCTTCCCCTTGTAAAACATATTTGTTTGTTTGTTGTTTAATGCTACACACAGCAATATTCCTGCTGTATGATGGTGGTCTGTAATTAATCGAGTCTGCACCAGACAATCCAGTGATTGATATCATAAGCATCGATCTACGCATTTGGCATTTGACATCCATCAACAAAGTCAGACAGCCTGACCACCCAATCCCGTTAGTAGCCTGTTACAACAAGCATGGGTTGCTGAAGATCAATTCAACGTGGATCTTCACGGGTGCAATATGTACTGGTCATCTCAAATACAATCTTAACAGAACAACCAGGGCCTCGTTCCACAAAGCAATCATCACACAACAACTATTCAATACCTTAATATAGACTTAGCTCTAAGATTGCTTCGTGGAACGGGGGCCTCAACAGGAAATGACATCACATACGACATCAGATGTCAACTACAATCTTTTAACTTCAATTTGGTCAGTTCAAAACCAAGCTCCTCGCAGCGATAGCCCGTTCACGGAGCTCTCTATAATATTGCTGCCATCAGTCAAAACTCCCCACAGTGATAGATGACCACAACCATGCTTGGAGTTTAAAACGCAGCCGATTGTCCGTTATGTTTACAAACAAGTGACGACTGTCGTGACGCCGAATACACTTACCCCTGCTAAATTACTTTCTTTGTTTGTCAATTTGAATTTCTATTTCATTAAAAGTATCATGTTATTGATAAAGTGAGAATGTAAGAGAGAAGTTGGTTGATTTCCCGTTAGTCTGCAATCTCGAACCAATCTGATTATACAAACAACAAAGTAAATTCATCTGGAAAACATGGTCAGTCGTAAACCTTTTCAAAATGAACTCTAATGGCATTCCCAAACACATAAGCAAAAGTATGAATGTGACTACATTTGGGATTAGAGGGCAAATTTCAAGATTCTTGTAATGGCCGCGCCACACTGGTGGCAGCGATGTTACCGAGAGTGTAACAAAGGCGTCACGCGCTGGGAAGGAGCTTGATTCAAAACAAACTAAGGGGGACAACTCTGATAACCATATACAAGACAGTGACTGTCCTACACTAAGGAAACAACTGACTAGAACATAGGCCTCTAGATATGTTAAGGATGGGAGAGGACAGGTTAGAACACTTGACATTCCCACACCCAGCTTGCTCAAAAACTGTAATACAGTCTTGCTCATGTTTACAATATTGGGATACATCATCAACAGGCGATGGCAGCAGCAGCAACAGATAAAGGGTGGTGTGTACTCGCCGTCTGCTCAATTTGGACAATTGGTTTATGTAACATGAAACAGAACTTTGGAGAAACCAATCAGTTATTTGAGATTTACAATTGGTTAGAAGTGGTAACTTCTGCAACTGTAACATTTACATCTATCAGTGACAAAGTTTGTCACATTTCAAAGTACACCTCTAATTGTGATGTTTGACCAGTTACACTTAATGGTGAAGAGAACACAAATTCACAGAAAAGTCACAGACTGCTAATTCATTCTGCCAGTACAAGGGCTCTAAGTACGACACAGCCAGGTCACTCACCCGGAGCTCCACCCACTTGACCAGCAAGCGTTTGGCGTTGAACTCACAGAGCAGCCCGGACTGTGTGATGCAGAAGGTGGTGCCGGCCATCTGGCCACGCCCACACAGGATGCCACAGAAGAAGTTGTTCTTCTGGTCGCTGAGGATGCCGGACCGACCCTGCAGTGGCACCGTCTCGTTGATCTGAACAGGAGGAAGACAGGATTACAATCACAATCAGGGGCAAAAAGTAGCCCTGTAAAATAATACAGAAACATGATCGCCCAAATGCCTTATGTCACCTTAATTCTAACTGCCAGTCAATGATTTAATTTATTAATGGTAAATGCCCATAGGCTGCATGTGCTTCTAATGAAAGAAATTCACAACTTCCAACCTGAAAGTAAATGGTTGGTTTGTTGTTTAACGCCGCACTCAGCAACATTCCAGCTATATGATGGCGGTCTGTAAATAATCGAGTCTGGACCAGACAATCCAGTGATTAATATCATGAACATCGATCCACGCAACTGGGATCGATGACATGTATCAACCAAGTCAGGGAGCCTGACCACCCGATCCCGTTAGTCGCCTCTTACGACAAGCATAGTCTCCTTTTACGGCAAGCATGGGTTGCTGAAGACCTAATCTACCCTGGAATCTTCACGGGTCCTGAAAGTAAATGAAATGTTTGTTGCATTTGAATGGATAGCATTGTAAAACAAAGTACGGTAACTACATAGAAACATTATCCTCCATACAAACTAATACAATTTCAGTATTTGCTTACAGTTCTTGTCTCCATCAAACTGTTATAAGTGAGTGAGTGAGTTGGGTGTAACGCTGCTTTGAACAGTGATGCAATACATCATGGCATGTCAGCTTAATGTGGGAGGAGGTGATACCGATGTTTACCACTTTTGGTGAAACCCATGAGAACGGGTATGGTGCTGACAAGGCAGGAAACATAATCGGGGCGAAACCGGGATTAACCCACGATCATAGATTTCTGGCATTCCCAAGGGATGCAACTCTGTGCAGCAAATTGCAGCACCTCTGATGACTGGGCCACCTGTGACCCCTCAAACTGATATGAGGTAACACTGTGAGTTAGTTAGCATTGGTTTCAGCAGTCTATCAGCAACATCATGGCTGGGGACACCGGGAACGGGCTCCACACCACCCCCTGTGAGGCAATTGAACCATTTCAAAACATTTAATTACACCCAATCTCATTAAAATCAGATCTTAGTTTTCGTTACTCCTCCTCCGAAACAATCCTCCTCACCCTAGGCTTGCTGCTTTCCAGATACCAGAACTTGACATGTCGGTTCCCCACCGTCACGAAGTAGTTGCTGTCATGGTTGAATGCCACGTTGCTCACCTGCAACAAACACCACAAAATGTTTAACATGTTCTGCTACTTCTACTTTAACGTCAAAATCCTGGGGTTTTTTTGTTTTTTGTTTAACACCACACTCAGCAATATTCAAGCTGTAACATGGCGATCTGAAAATAATTGAGTCTGGACCAGACAATCCAATGATTGACATTATGAGCATCTATCTACAGTATTGGGATACAATGACATGCAACCAAGTCAGCAAGCCTGACCACCCTCTTACGACAAGCATGGGTTGCTGAAGACCAATCCTAACCCAGAACTTCACTGGATGTCAAGTCCTGGGTGGCTCATGTGAGTGGTAAGCCACGGTGTCATTAACACCACCTACCATATTCCACGCATTAAGCGCCCCTCTCTAATAAGCGCCTAGGTGATATTTGCTAATATATTGGCTAGTGAACAATCCCAATTAGCACCCCTTTCGATTGATCAATGTACACAAGACTTATTTATTCGTGTAAAATACGCATCGTGTGTTATATGCACACTTAATCATGGGCAATTAAATTCTGGAAAAATATATCTGGTGTACATAAACATTTCAGGCTGTCAGCATAAACCACGAAATTTATCTTTCAAATCTGATTTTTTTCCACCAAAATAATATTCTAATAAGAGCCCCCTATTTTCAATTTTGAGAGCGCCCTGGGCGCTTATTACGTTGAATACGGTATTCTGATTGATATAGATACCCTGAAACTGACCTTGCATGAGAACTTGTTGGAGGCGACTTTGTTTCCAGACCGCCAGTTCCATACATTGATTATCATGTCGTGCTGGGTGCCAACAGACACGAGGTACCGCAGATTTGGAGAGAACGCCTGAAACAACACAGAAACAACTTCAACAAAAGGTCAAGAAACCCTAAAAGGCATTTTTTTTTTTGTTATATATAAGTTACACTTAACCTCTATGCATTCATTGAACAATAACATGGCGTTATGCTACAGTTGTTGCAGGAGATTCTGAGCCAGCAATTCACAGGCCATATTAGAAACAAGCATGAAATACTCACATTACCCGCCAATATGACACGTCGGGTGTGTGCAATGCATTAGCTTCTGTGAACTATGTTCACTGGGCCTTTTTGCAAAGAAATATGCTACGTTTTTCAAGATCTGCTCCGGAAACGAGGACTACCACCATTTTCAGTCTAAATCAAAGTCGTTGCCATGGAAACTAAAAAAATATTGTTTTTAAAAATCCCAAACTATCAAAAGGGACCAGTTCACCACTAGATCTATCTATGTGCCAAGTTTGGTGAAGAAACAAGGTACGGTTTTAAGATCTGCTCCGGAAATGAAATGTGACGGACGGAAGGACAGACGGACGGCACCCATTCCTATATCCCCCTTCCACTTCGTGGCGGGGGATAATAATATATCAACCATAAGATGGTTTAAGTCGTGAAATCACTTGTTTGGGGTCTGAATCATCCTGTGTATCAAATCTTTATTCTACATTTGAATCTAGTCTATCATACAGACCCTGAAACAAATATATCCAATCCTGTCCATGCAAGTCTAAATTACTGAAGTTTCAGTTTCTGGAAATGAAGAGAGTCTCTTGGCCCCTTTTTATTATTTCTTGGTCAGATACTTTAACAACTGTTTTTTTCTGTAAAATACTTTCATTTCAGAGACTAGACGTTAGTCTCACCTTGAACCCTTGAACCATTTGTTTTGAATCTGATTCAAATGACATGATGCCAAAAATAATCATCCAATGAAATTACACTCTGGTGCGAGAGAAACTGTGTGGGAAGTAGACTATCATCTAGTCTCTGGAATGAACATATCTTACAGAAAAAAACCCAGCAGTTAAATTATCTTCATAAAATATAAGAAACAGGAGCCCAGAGACTCTCTTCTTACTGCATTAATCTAGACTTGCATGGGCTTTATTGCATATATTTGTCTCAGGGTCTGTATGACAGACTATGTGAGAAGTTACTGATAGAGATAGATGTGGTGGCACGTGGTACTATGCACAGCGCTCTGGTTACAAATCAGTTGAAATTAAGTAACTTCGGTTGCGGAGAGTTCTTGGATGGGTGACCGCGTTTCGGCAGCTTGGCTCCTGAGTTTTCAGGGCTTTAGTGCTGCCCCTAACTGAAGAACATGTATCTCATGTGGCATCTCCTTGGGCAAGTGACTTTGTTTGAAATGTGCCTCTGTTCACCCAGCAGTGAATGGGTACCCGGTAGGATCAGATGGCAATGTTGTTGTAAACCTTCAAGCGCAATTTGGGTTGCATACTCCCTAGGGAGCTGAGAATGATTCTTGAGTGCACATTGAAGGGGGTAATCATAACGCTTTGAGCATGCCCCTGAGTGGTGTGGAAATATGCGCAATATAAATAGCCTATTATTATTATTATTATTATTATGTTTTGACGTGTGAGAGATGAGTCCAGGGTGTTCAGGCCTCGAACATCGCTGAGTTTGTTGCTGCTGGTCAGTAGGACAGGCTGCAGCAGGTTGTACATACCGCACAGCTGATGCCAAACTTGTGGCCGTGGAACTCTGCCACCTGTGTCTTCTCCTCCACGTCCCATACCCGCACAGCCGGCTGGTGGCCACACTGAAACAAAGAAACACACCAATGATAACATGATAATAGACAATCAACTGATAGAGTGGGGAAGTGAGGTACTGTTGTTTAACATTCAACACATGAGGGAGCATGCTTTGAGTATGTTTAGACAAACTCATGCTTTATCATTGCAACCTGCCTGTCATTGGGGAAAGAAGCCACATGCTGCCAACCCCCTTTTGTTAAGTGGGATTGGGGAGTCTATTCAGAGGGTATTCAGACATCAGCATAGACTAACATCTAGTCTTTGAAATGAACATACTGTACAGAAAAAAACCAGTTGTTCAGTTATCTTAATAAAAATATAATTAAAGGGAGCCGAGTGACGCTCTTCGTTTTCCTGATACTGCAGTAATCTAGACTTGCCAAACATTATAGACTTGAATGGGCTGTATTTGATATATATTTGTATGAAGGTCTGTAAGACAGACTAACATCAGCAGTGGTCCATAGAATGCAAATAAAATTTATTTGGTATGAAGATTCAACATTTAAATAAAATAACGGTGTTTGTAAAATAATCTATACATAAGTTATTATTTTGATTTTTTTTCAGGAAAGCAGTATTCAGAATTTAGGAGAGCGGGGGTTGGCACCCTCACATCAGAGATCCTGACAACTCGATCCTCATCTTAGTCAGCAATATTGAGGTAAAGTAGACCATTTTTTACCTGGAATCCAACATGGTGGCAACACACAGAAACATCACGCAGCCATAAGACTGTTTGTTTGATGATTGTCTTTCTATTTCACTGAATAGCATACAGCATGGGGTAAACTTTACTACATGTTTTATAAATACAGATCAACCCTGAGATAAGTGGAAGTCTTTCGATTAGTTTGTAAAAATATAATAATATATATATCCACTTACGTACACGTACCATCACTCGAAAAATTGGCTGAGGGAAAGTTGGGTTCAGCTCAATTTGTCAACCCCTGTGACTTAAATCCAAATCTGACTAAGGATACCGATAATTATCAGGCCATAAACCCATAATTCTCACAAGAGATAGCTGTCTTACCAGGAATTCAAGTGTATATGACGAATTCCACCATCCACAATAGGGGCCATTGAGTCAACAAATGGCTACATACAGATAACACGGGAAGACCAAATGTCTGCCTGCCTGGCTGTGCTAGTGTGTCATCAGACCCAGATGCGTACTCTGTGGTTATTCTGGGCTCCGAATATCTTGGCATCCTATGCTTGTGGAAGGAACGACTCAATGGATTGGGAGAGCAGGCTTGCTGAAGACCAAATGTCTGCCTGCCTGGCTGTGCTAGTGTGTCATCAGACTCAGAGGTGTACTCTGTGGTTATTCTGGGCTCCGAATATCTTGGCATCCTATGCTTGTGGAAGGAATGACTCAACTGATTGGGAGAGCAGGCTTGCTGACCTAGCTATTAGCATGCCATCGTTCTCCGACAGTAAGGAATTATGCTCATTAATATAAATTACTGGGTTGTCTGGTACTGACTTGATTATTTACAGGCCACCTTCATATACAGCATTCAACCACAAAAAAATGAACTTTCACCCAATGAAAGTCACCTTACTATGACTATATAATTTTCTCTTCTTGTAGGTTCTCATGAAGATTTTCTCCGATGTGATAAGATCCGACAAGGACAGCACCTGATAAGCGTGAAACCCTAGCAAAGCAGGAACAAGATAAAATGCCAGTCCACCCGAGCCAAAAAGTCAGGATTTTTTCAACAGTCATAATTCCAAATTAGTTCAACCTTGATTAGTATCGAACATTCTTCAACTGACACAAATAATCTACTGTACTTGTCACTCCCACTTTAAATAGCCAGTTCCTAATTATCCTGGCACTCTTCTATGCTTCTCTCTCACCATTTAACAGAGCTCTGCAACAACAGACTAACACAACCTCAAGGAACACAACCTGGAATGGCTTGTTCTGGCTATTCATCTGCAATGTAGCAAATTTGGAAATAGGCGGTACCTGTTTTCTTGATAAAAAACCCATTATAATCCTTTTCATTGAAAATACACACTTCTTTCCCTTACAAAAGCATATGAACAAAGTTAAATCACACAGTGAGACAAACATTTCTGGATTTGCTCATTCTAGTTTTTGTGAGGCAACCAATTTCTTCAAAGGTTTACACCCTTTTCAGACCAACTTTCAGCATTTCAAAACAAATCCAAAGCAAGTTTATCAGGATCAACAATATCATTAGATAATGTCATTCATCAACCCTCACGTGTTAAGTAACGGTTCTACACACCCTCTCCAGCATACACAGCCCAAAATATGCCTAGTTGGACTATCTCATGGCAAAATACCAACACCGCCACAGTTTCCTTATTTCTAAAACTATTATTCCCCATTCTTGCGGCGCCACAACAGAAACTCCTCTCTGATGCCACCAGCAGAGATTTCCCTCCCTGCCAATAAAACTAGAACAAACAGACTCTTCAGTGTAAGTGATTGGTCTTCCAATTAAACCTTCGACTTAAAAAGTGAGAGTATGTAACATTAGCAAGTGGGAAAAACATTTTGGTGAAGGTTCCTCATCTGGTATATATCAGGATTATCTTGGTGAACACGAGTGAACTTGATACTTTTTGTAACCTTTTTCAGTTTGTTTTGTAAATACTCAATCATGTAAGCTTATTTTGGATTCATTAGTTCGGAATGATGTGTTTCGTACTGAAAGTTCGTCTGATGCTTCTTTTCTTTATTTACCTTTTCTTTCTCAAACAAGAATATTTTCAGAGTTGTAGTACGATAAACAAAGACTTCTAAAACCCAATCTGCTCTTCTTCCTCTACGTTCAAAGTGATGCTGTTGTCAGATAGCTCAACCTGCTCTAGATACCATCTCTCCCTCCACAACACAGTTCAACTACCTTTACATACATACATACATCCTTTAAGTATAAACTGACAATAGCACTGTAGCAAATGTTAAGTTATTTTGGTGAAGAATAAACAAGAAACACAACTGCCTAAGGGTGGATAAATTAGCCAGTGAGTGAGTGAGTGAGTGAGTGAGTGAGTGAGTTTGGTTTAACACCGCTTTTAACAGTATTCCAGTTATATCACGGATTGTCAGCTTAATGTGGGAGGAAAGCCCAAAGTGATGCAGGTCTCAGACGTTTACCACTTTGGAGAAACCCACGAGTACGGGTATGGTGCTGACAAACCTAGAAACATAATCGGGGCGAACCGGGATTCGAACCCACAATCATAGGTTTCTGGCGTGCCTAAGGGACGCAACTCTGCGGCGCCTTAGATGACTGGGCCACCCGTGCCCCACAATTACCCAAGGAGCCTCCCTTATAGGTCCCATAGCATGTAACTAATAAAGCAATCACTCCCATTCCATTCTCATTCACGTTTCAGCTCCAGCATCCAGATCTCATCCCTTGTCAGCTCTAAGAAACTCAGAGACTTGAGGTTTCCTTAATACTTAAGGGTTCCTCTTTTGAGTGATTTGTATTTAAGCTTACATGACTTTATTTCAGGGAATATACGTTAGCCTTCTAGCCAAGCAATTGTCAATAATGAAGCCTGGACCAAACAATCCAGTGATTGATATTGTGAGAAATGTAACGCTGTCTGACGACATGATGCATTAAGTTGCCTTTTACGATCAGCATTTGAAAATGTTTCTCTTACTCTTGAAAATATGAAAACAAGCCAGCCTCTCTACACCAGTGGTTGGTGAGTGAGTGAGTGAGCAAAGCCCAATTAACGCAATGAAGGTCAAAGACATTATGATGATAGACCAAAGGTCATATTCTGGGGCTAATCTGAAATTCAACTTCATAATCAGCAGATCCAATCATGGCAAAGGGACACAAATCTACACAACAAATAATGATTCCTAGAATCATTTGACCAGCTGTGACCCCTGATTAATTTTGGTAAGAAGGACAAGCTTTAAAAAATTTAAATGTTTTACTTATGTCAAAGAAACTTACTTCTCCTGTTACAAGATGCTTTCCGTCCCCGGAGAAAGCAAGAGCAGTGATTGACTTCTTGGAGTTGTTGATAATGTGTGTCTGTTTGTTTCTCCGAGTGTTGAAGAGCACGACTGAGCACCTGATAAAGAGAGATTCAAACACTGATTACATGGTACATGTGATCACGATCCCCACAAGCAAAACACAGATAATATCGGGGTGCTTAAGGCATCCTCTACATGCAGCTAGTCTTCCAGGAACCAGTCTCGGGTGCACCCTCAGATACACTCTGATGTTGAAAGAAGCATGCTGAACAGAAAACATGATCAAAATTCACACATGTGAGACTTGCAAATCATATTTGTGCATGGCATGTGCTCATATCAAATAAAGTCTTCATAAATGTCAGATACTAATAGAATGGTTGTCAGATATATCAACAAAGGTAGGCACATGCATTGTATTTCATATGCACATGATCAAGCCTGTGAAAAATGGAAAGAATGTACTTGATCAAGCACCTTCATGTGGTTTAAGCTACAAGATAAAAAATCATATTAACGATACATCTGTTTCAAGGATATTAATCCATCTTGACATATTAGGGTAACAGATATTGTCAGCATTTAATGTGGTTCAGGATTTCATGTCTTGAGTGAGTGAGTGAGTGAGTATGGTTTTACGCAGATTTTAGCAATATTCCAGCAATATCACGGTGGGGGACACCAGAAATGGGCTTCACACATTGTGCCCATGTCGGGAATCGAACCCGGGTCTTCGGCATGACGAGCGAATGCTTTAACCACTAGGCTACCCGACCGGCCCCTGTCTTGAGTGAGGATTGACAGTAAATTTCTGATCATCGGTAGCTTATGACTTAGGAAACTTTTTCTCTCTACATCTGGTAGTGTCCAACTTTACAGGCGCTGGTGGGTAAGTTGGTTTAACACTGCTGTGAATAGTCTTCCAGATATACACTAGGGACCCGTTCCACAAAGATATCTTAGCACTAAGACAGTCGTAAGTCTATGTTAACGTATGGGGGTTACAATCGTCTTAGCGATACGATCGATTTGTGGAACGGGGCCCTGTATCATGGCAGGTCATCCTAAAGTGATGGATGTCATCAATATTTAACACTTTGTTGAAAATTTAGGACACAGGCAAGGTGATGAGAGACCAAAGATCTTAAGAGGTCGGATGCTCTACCACCAGACAATGTAGGGGGTTTTGAGAGTTATGAATCATTCCATGACAAAGATATATTGTTTCAAAACAGAATCTGGCACAGCTAGGGTGTACTCTTTAGACTAAATGGACAACATCAGCAAGAGAGGCAGATATAAGTATCCTGTTAACATTGCTGTTCACCATTCACAATAGTTTGCTGCATGAAGAGAGCCAAGGCATTAGGAACAATATTGAAATATCAAATTAACAATATATTTTCCTTCTTAACAGATGATATTGATATCAAACAAATGAAACTTAATTGAAATGATATCAATATTAACACCCAGCTGGGACTTCATTGACAGTGGTCCGAAGCCTGAGTCTTGCAAAATTCTGTTTGGCCTTGGTAACCTCAGCAAATAAAAACCCACATAATAACAAAAAATATACCGAAAATGATGATAAGAGTCAAATTCGGGCTGTTTTTTTCCAATGACTACACTCCACGTAAGGGTAGGTTTGTTAAAAGAGCCGGGACGAGTCCAAATTTACTACCCAGGTACCCACCCCTCTATTACCCGACCCTACCCGGATACCCGCTATAGGTCTCAAGAGATTCAAACTGTCTGATTGGGAAAAGTTTGCCCTTGCAAAATGTATTTTGATACATGTATAAAACGATCTGGACATGCAGGCACTGAAGTTTACTGCATGAAGTTTTATCTGTATTCAAACATATAAATATCAGAAGGAATGGGTGCATATAGTCAGAAAGAAATGGGAACATTAGTGACTTGAAGTGTAACCACAGAGTTTGTCATTAAACAATATATCACGTGACTAACCACGGGTCCTGGTAGTCCTGTGGGTACCTGGGTCCTACTCAGTCCCCTCCCAACCCGAGTACCAGAGTTACGTGTCCCAGCCCTAGTTGTTGAAATATTTTTTCCCCTTTTCAAAGCTTTTCCTTCACATTGGGAGGTAATACACATATGTATGCTCCCTCCAGCTTGGTTAGGAAACAGTTTGTAATAAATCTTGTAGCTCCTCTTAGTGGAAGAGACAGATAGCTCTTCTCATAAATCATCTTCAACAGACACAGAAACCTATCATTTTCTACATCACACCGACACGCTCTGAAGTAAGTACCTGCTTCACCATAAGTCTGCCTTGTACTGTCGAAGACAGATCAAAGACCATGAATTGTATTCATATAGACCACACTGAACTTTTTACCTGCCATACAAGGCAGTTTACACAGAGGTCCAAGGTGCGGAGTGGCCTGTATGACAAGGCCTGTGTTGACAAGTCCAGCTCAGGAGCTGCCGCGTCAAACACTCATGCTGTCATTATAACAGTAGTACTAGCCGCATGCCAACGAACATTTGTCTTCATCAAGTCCGTAGATGAGGGGTACACCGAGGTGGTGATGGCGAATGTTGATAGAGGATGTCGGCTATCTTGTCAGTGATGATGGGATAACATACACATGTATTGTACGTTTGATGGTTCATTGTTAGAGTGAGTGGGCTTAGTCAATTTCAACAGTATTTCAGTTATCTACCTCTACCTTAGGTTGTGTGAATTTACTTAAAACTTAAAGACATCTTCAAACCATAATAAATATAAGTTCGAACCTTGGGTAGCTTACTGCTAGAAGAGAACCAAGATTCACCTTTGGTGAGGTGAAATGGGGTTTAACGTCCAGCCAAGATTATTGCACTTATATAGTGACATGCATGCACTAGTCTAATGCTGATTTTATAGTGCTAGCCCAATGAGATACCATGCTGCAGTCTTACATGAATACCCCACTCAGACACAGTATACTGACTGACCAGTCCTTGTTTTAGCCCCTTAATGCCGACAGGGTAACAACAAGTACCATCTTTAAAAGTCTTTTGGTATGACGCGTACGGGGATCGAAACCTCAGACCTTCCGTTCTCCAGGCATGCGCACTACCACTAGACCACGGAGGCGGTTGATTCGCTTTTGGGAACCCTGATTGTTTAATTCCTGATGTAGGTGAACCACCCACACTGATAAAACTGCTGAATCAGCACACCAATGGGCACCATTCCCATGTCCATTGCCTTCAACTTGTAGGAACACCAGGGAACGCCATGCAGAACATGTAGCAGGTGTTACAGAGATCTGTTACCAATGTCATCTCAAACACTTACTACTCATTCCTGACTAAAATTCTTTCTCAAATTATTCCGACCATCCTTCCACGTTTCATCCTTACAAAGAGTCTTTCTATACAAAGCTATTTAGGACGAGCTTCAAGTCCCTGTAAACTTTACACAGTGTGTAATCCCACCTGACTCCCAACACACCCAGTCTACCTATCTCTCTACTTGCCTACCCACGCATGATTCTAGAATGGCTTGGAATAGATGAATGTTTAACATCACTCACATCAACTATCCATTGTTGCAGATGTTGTGGTTGAAAGAATGGGTGCATTGTTTAAATCTTATTGTCTATTTATTGCATAAAATAAATGATCATGTATTTCATTAACTGTAATTCCAGAAAATATCAGTCCTCCCTTTAAATTGTCATAAACAGATATGATGAAAACAGATGTGTACCAAGTAAGTTTTGATACCAAGCAATGAAAATATTTCACATATATATTTCTGTTATCTGTTAGCATTATAATTTCAGTGTTGTTTGTTTGGTTTGGTTGGTTGTTTAACGCCGCACTCAGCAATATTCCAGCTATATGATGGCGGTCTGTAAATAATCGAGTCTGGACCAGACAATCCAGTGATTAATGTCATGAGCATCGATCCACGCAATTGGGATCGATGACATGCATCAACCAAGTAGGCGAGCCTGACCACCCGATCCCGTTAGTTGCCTTTTACGACAAGCATAGTCACCTTTTACGGCAAGCATGGGTTGCTGAAGACCTATTCTACCCCGGAATCTTCACGGGTCTAACATTTCAGTGAGTGTGAGTGAGTTGGGTTTAACACCGCTTTTAACATTATTCCAGTTATATCACAGCATGACAGCTTAATGTGGGAGGAAAGCCCGAAGTAATTCAGGTCTCGGATGTTTACCACTTCGGTGAAACCCACGAGCATGGGTATGGTGCTGACAAACCTAGAAACATAATCGGAGCGAACCGGGATTCAAACCCACAATCATAGGTCTCTGTCGTGCCCAAGGGACGCAACTCTGCACAGTGAATCGCAGCGCCTTAGATGAACTGGCCACCTGTGCCCCCCTCATCATAATTTCAAATCTATCGGTACTAACAGAGAGATTAAGTAGCTTATTCTACATTATTTATTCTTAAATTTAAAAAGAATTCTGAAATTAAAGCATCACAGTCAAATAGTCAGATGATAAAGAATACAGTCAATGATGAGCGATGGGGGAAAATACACTAAGAAAGTAAATCCCAAAGCTGATAACCCAGAATGGAAATCTTACAGAGGTCACCTCCTTCCATCAGGATCAATTTCAGTTCTTATTGACACATCAATGGTTTTAATGAAACAGAAGATGAGGAACACTTCCTGTTGCGTTGCCCCCTCTACAAAGATTCTGAGAGGGGAACTAAATTCATCACCCGGCTTTGCTATGCACCTACTATCGTTAAAAATACTATTAAATCCACCACAGCCCTTTGCAAAAATTATATCTAATTTCATTCACAAAATGTTCAGGCAAAGAACATCTGCATCTCCTTCCTAACAATATAATCATAGCAATATTTGTATTCTGTTTTGTATGTCAATGTTTTAATTAGTCATGTTCATGTTTTGTACCCTGCCCCCTGTGGGTGTTTTGTACAATAGATATTCTTCTTCTTCTTCTTCATCCTCAAGACATGAACCAGGTGACGAGAGTGCTACCCCAACCACAACTGAGCCAAAGTCATCTGAGGTACAACCAAATCTAACTTTTCAAGATAAGAGGTCTTGTTCAAATATCTGTCAAGGTTC